TTTCAGGCCTTTGTAATGTGCAGACTTCCCTACCCCTGGCCTTTCCCCTCAGGTCATCAGCATCTGTTCTTTTTTCATTGGTTTTTTCTACATACATATCTATGCATATTATATACACTTCTTTTTTGGAGACGGAGTCTTGCTCTGTCACCAGGCTGGAGTGCAGTGGTGTGATCTCAGCTCACTGCAACCTCTGCCTCCCAGGTTCAAGCTCTTCTCCTGTCTCAGCCTCTCGAGTAGCTTGAATTACAGGCCCCTGCCACCACACCCAGCTAATTTTTTGTATTTTTAGTAGAGATGGGGTTTCATCATGTTGGCAGGCTGGTCTCGAACTCCTGACCTCGTGATCCACCCGCCTCAGCCTCCCAGAGTGCTGGGATTACAGGTGTGAGCCACCACACCCGGCCTTCTATAAACATTTTCTACACACATTTCACACAATTCATAAAAGTGTCTTTTTAAATAATGTTGCAGTATTTTCTTGTGCTTATATGCCACAATTTCTTAACTTCTCTGTTTGGGGCTGTTGCTACATTATTTTATTATAGATCGTGCATATGTGAATATTTTGGTACAAATTAGGTTTTTTTTTTTTCCTTCTTCTTTTGGGCCTGTACATGAAGGGGAGGTACTCTGTCAAAGTGTCACTGTTTTTTTGCTCTCTAGGAAGACTGAACCAATTTATATTGTAGAAGAGGATCTACAGGTTTTTTCTGCAGTTTCACGCCGTGCAATTTTAATAGTTTTTGCTGGTTTATGAGGCATATACCTGTGCCTTGAGATTGTCTTAATATGCTTATTGAAGGAAGTCGTGAGGATGTAATGGTTTGATTTTAATATTTTCTCTCATTGGAAACCAAATGGTCTTTAAAAAAAGTCTTAGTTGAAGTTGAATGTTGACATCTTGTGATTCATCTGTTTTTGTATGGTTTGGACACATGCTTTTATTTACTGTACTTTGTATCTTTCCCCATTCTCTTGCTCATTATTCGTTTCATTACATTTTGTGGTGCAAAACTTATTCACTAATGTTTACATTTTTAGACTCAACTACATTATCTCTGATGATATTCTTAAGTTTTTTGGCCAGAAATTATTTTCTCCTTTAAAAGTGGGCGAAGTATATTATTCTGCTGTTTTTAGGTTTGTAATTGCTTATTTCTTGGATCTATTTGGACCTTATTACAGTGTTTGGTATAAGATGTAGATCTAAGGCCAGGCGCGGTGGCGTACGCCTGTAATCCCAGCACTTTGGGAGTCCGAGGCAGGTGGATCACGAGGTCAGGAGTTTGAGACTAGCCTAGCCAAGATGGTGAAACCCCATCTCTACTAAAAATACAAAAATTAGCCCAGCATGGTGGTGGGCACCTGTAATCCCAGCTACTCAGGAGGCTGAGGCAGGTGAATCACTTGAACCCAGCAGGTGGAGGTTGTGATGAGCTGAGATCACACCACTGCACTCTAGCCTGGGCAACAGAGCAAGACTCTTGTCTCAAAA